CTGTCCAGAAACTTTGCACTGTCAAACTCTGCACCTTGTTTTTCTTTTGATCGGATTTGCTTAAGGTTTTACGTAGTTTTGCATGCCCAAAACCCTAAGGGAGGGTGAAGATATTATATAGAATAGAATAGCCTTGTTAGAGTGTGCTTAGGAGTCTCAACCATGTCTTCCTCCTTAAGAATAGCAAACCAAGTAGGATTAGAATTCTCTCTTCAAGCTCTTTCCTCTTTCTCTTCCTTCACATGCTAGGACTCTAAGTCTAAATAAAACATCTAAAACAATCCTAGGTAAATCTATTCGTTTGTCAAAAAATAATGCCAACACAAGATGGAACTAACATTACATTCACCAGAATTTTTAAATGGCATTCGAGCTTCAGGTGTTCCAAACCATGTGCTTACGTTGAAGGTTGGTACCCCAATCATGCTTCTTAGAAATATTGATCAATCTATGGGCATGTGCAATGGTACAATATTAACAGTGACAAAACCGGGGAAGCATTTAATTCAAGGAAAAGTTATAGGAGGGAAAAATGACGAGCATGAAGTTGTTATCCTAAGACTTTCATTGACTCCATCGGATAAAAGGATTCCTTTCAAGTTTCAAAGGAAACAATTTCCTGTCATGACTTCTTATGCAATGACCATTAACAAAAGTCATGGTCAATCTTTATCGCATGTTGGGCTACTACTTAAAAAATCAGTCTTTAGTCACGGTCAGCTATATGTTTCTATGTCCCGTGTGACAAATCAGGAAGGCCTGAAGATCTTATGTTGTGACGAAGAAAACAATGCTTTGAACTACACTTCAAATGTTGTTTATAAAGAAGTCTTCCAGAATTTATAATGCATTCTTATATGTAAAATTTATTTGTGTGCAATGCACTTTTATATGATCTAGGAATATACAAAGTGCATTGTGGTTCGAAATATACGGTATTTGGATGTGATATATATTAAATTTTATTTTTTACCTTATTAATTCATTCTAATTTAGTTATTCTTTACACAAATAAAATAATTTATTATTACATTATTCTGACCGTGCATCACATGAGTAAAATCTAGTATATATAAACACATGCATTATGGTCCTAAAATCTACATCCAATGTGTGGACATACTCATGTAACTTTAATTTGGTAGGCTCAAAAACTTGAAAAGGCTCATCGACATTGCAAAAGGTTAAATATTTCAATAAGGTTCACAAAACCAAGGTGGACCTAAGGTTCACCAAAGTATTTGCCTAGTCCGATTAACGTATGTAGATTTCTTATCAATTAACCAAACACTACGGCTGTCATTTACGGTGGGGGGGGAGGGGTGGGAAAACGATGGGAGAAATGTTTAGGGGTGGTTAGTGTGGATGAGAACAATCAATTTTACGATCGTCACACCGTAGGTGCCCCTCGTCGCACCGTAGGTGCCCCTAGTGCGATGATGTAACGAATGGCGTCACCACATGATCGTGTAACTCTACAACCCACCCACCCACCCACACACACATATAAACACACATGCACATATATACTCCCTCCTAGATTTATTTTTTCATCAGGATCATCTTTGATGCAACACTTTGACTAAAGAATTATGAATTTCCTTGAACCATAAAGTGGGAGTACATGGGTTTATATATACAACCTTTTCCTAATCCTAATCATGGTAGGATTCTACAATAGGAAACAATATTTGTACAATTAATATAGAATATATATTTAACATAAATATAGAATATATTTAACATGCTCCCAGCTACGTCAGCGTCGGAGGTGGGCGAATCCCGAGGCTTGTCCGAAAATCTTGAAATAATATGGACGGGAGGCCTTTCGTAAATATGTCGGCGTACTGTGATGAGGATGGAGCATGAAGGACTCTAATCTTGCCAAGGGCTACCTTGTCACGAACAAAGTGAATGTCAACTTCAATATGCTTGGTGCGCTGATGCTGGACCGGATTGGTGGAGAGGTAAACAGCACTGACGTTGTCGCAGAAGATGAGTGTGGCACGGCGTAGGGGCTGTTGAACCTCTAGGAGGAGATTTCGGATCCAGCTGGTTTCGGCAACGGCATTCGCAACGGCTCGGTATTCAGCTTCAGCACTCGATCGGGAAATGGTAGCCTGGCGTTTGGAGGACCAAGAGATGAGATTGTCCCCAAGGAATACACAGTAGCCCGATGTGGATCGCCTAGTATCAGGGCACCCGGCCCAATCAGCATCAGAATAGGCCTGGAGAGAATCTTGCCTGAGGGAAAGAGAGTCATATTGTAAGTGGAGGTGCCACGGAGATAGCGTAGGACACGCTTCATGGCCGTGACATGGGCATCTCGTGGGGCGTGTAGATGGAGACAAAGCTACTGAACAGAGTAGGAGATGTCTGCCCTGGTGAATGTGAGATACTGGAGTGCACCAACTATGGAGCGATAGAGAGCTGGGTCGGTCGCCAGCGAGCCTGATGTGCCAGACAGTTTGGCCTTTGTATCGACTGGAGTGGAGATGGGACGACAAGTGGTCATGCCGGCATGCTCTAGGATGTCATGCGCGAACTGTGTCTGATGTAAAAAGAGACCACGAGCCGTCCGATGAACATTGATGCCCAAGAAAAAATGAAGGTCGCCCATGTCAGTCATAGCAAATTCCCCCTTAAGTCGCTCTGTCAAGCGCTTAAGGAGAGAGTCAGAGGAAGCTGTGAGGACGATGTCATCCACATAAAGGAGTAAGTAGGCAGTGTCTGTCCCATGAGAGTAGATGAAGAGAGAGGTGTCTGACTTACATCCTCGAAAACCCAGCGTGGAGATGAACCCAGCAAATCGTTGGTACCACGAACGGGGAGCCTGTTTCAAGCCATAGAGAGCCTTCTTCAGCCTGCATACATGGTTGGGCCTGTGGATATCCTGGAATCCTGATGGCTGAGAGGCGTAGACTACTTCCTGCAGATGGCCATGGAGAAAGGCATTTTTGACATCCAACTGATGGATCGGCCATCCTCGAGAGAGAGCAAGGCTGAGAATGATGCGTATAGTAGCTGGCTTGATCACAGGGCTAAATATCTCATCGTAGTCGACTCCAAATCTCTGGATGAAGCCACGAACAACCCATCGGGCTTTGTACCTGGTTAACTCACCTGTAGGGCCAACTTTGTGCCTAAAAAGCCATTTTCCGGTTATGATATTTTGGTGGGGGGAGGGGGTACTAATTCCCATGTATCATTCTTCATCAATGCATTAAATTCTTCACACATAGCATTGTGCCAATTGGGATCTTTGAGAGCACTACGGTAGGTGAGAGGCAGGGGGAAATGGGTACAGTGGTGTTGAGATTGAGAATATGTTTGGGACAGGTTATGCCAGTTTTGGAACGCGTGACCATGGGATGTTGGTTTGTGGTGATGGGTGGAGGTGAGGGAGGAGTGGGAATGGTTGGGCCGTGAGAATTGGGCTGGGTTTGCTGTGGGCTGGGGCTGGGCGACGCGGCAGTGCCGCTGGGCTGTGGGCTGGATGTAGCCAGTGGCTGGGTCGAAGGG